AATCTGGTTAAATCTGGTTGGTGAACATTTAAATGAGACGTGATTGTGATGTTTTATCAGTTTTAAACTCAGATTGGGTTCGTTTTCCATCCATATGACCCAGTTTTCATTTAAAGTCCAGCAGAAAGTTGAAAACCCGACAGTTCTTCTGTTTTTAGTTTCTGGCTGCTTTTTAGATCCACCAGCAGCTTCTGAGGTCTTCAAACACAGACCAGGTTTAAAGATACCGGCTCTGATGACCATCCTCTAAACACTACAGTCCAAACACAGCGCTGGTCGTACCTGGAGAGCAGAGCGACGGACGCTGTGGACGAGGAGCCGATGATGGACGAACAGTCGGAGTCATCTGGAGAGAGAATCATCGACATCATCAACACGCCGACCTGATCGGCAGCAGCTCACCGTCTGATTCACGTTTCAACAGTTTACCGTCGTCGCTGCAGGCGTTCTCCAGCTCGTCAGGCAGATCCTCCTCCACCACGTCCAGCCTGCAGCAAGACATTCAGCTCATTATGTGTCTCCGTGGTCACTTTACATCTCGTTAGTGTCTCATTTAGTTAATTTTATGCATCTTTGTGGTCATTTTGTGTCTGATTTAGTTAATTTTGTGTCTGATTTAGTTAATTTTGTGATCATTTTGCGTCTCTTCTAACTGTTCTTGGTCATGTTGTGTCCAATATTGCTCATTTTCTGTCTCTTTGGGGTCATTCTGACTGACGCTATGGTTGTTTTTGTCCCATTTAGGTTGTTTTTGTGTCACATTTGGGACATTTTGCGCCTGATCTCGTCATTTTAAGTCTCCTTTTTGTCATTTTCTGTATTTGTGGTTATTTTCTTTTCTTTCTCCATGAAAAGAGACTTTAAACTGAATACCTGCTACCATCTCAGTGTCTTCAGTCTTCAGACTCAGTAACCTGATGGTGTTTTAATCTGGGTTCCCTCTGACAGGTTTGGTTCACATCAAATAAACCAGATTACCTGCAGTAACACCTGCATGAATGTAATTTAAATGTAAAGAAAGAGAGTTAAAGTCTGTTTTCTCACCCGTTAGACGGCCGAGTCTCTCCCAGCAGGCGCTCCTCTGAGGCCAGAGGCTGGTCCTGCCTGCTCAGCTGGATGGCAGAGATCTGGGAGGTGACGGCGCCCAAAGGCTCTCCTGCACCGCTGGAGGCCACATCTGGAGGCAGGAGGACAGGTTTTAACAGGCCAGAGGCCACATCTGGAGGCAGGAGGACAGGTTTTAACA